TAGTTATATATGTAACAAGCTCGGTACATATAATTTATATGCACCGGCTTGAGGGGGAGTGTTAGTTTGTGAGTTAAATAGTTATATGCAAATAACCCTAATCACATATATAGTAGGAGTAAAACATGTATTATATATATAGGACTCATTGTATCATTGTCAATACATCAATAATATAATTTTCGAAGTTATTAATTTTCACACTTGAAATTTGTTGAAGTGCTTGAATGCTTGAACACTTGCAGTTTGCAGAGAATTGTGGCCTTTGATCCACGAGCTCCCTTGTGTCTTCTTGTTATAACTTCTGATGTCTTTTCTGAGATATGAAGATCCCTATTTATAGTTGTGGGAGGGAAGAGTTATGATAAGAACAAACTCTTTTCGACCAATCAAATTGAAGTGTGACAATGCCGCATTTGATTGGCCAGAACATGTCACTTGCACACGTGGCACGATTTCACTGGCCTTTTTAATTTAACTTGGTCTGCCTTGTCATTTTGACACGTGGCATGATCCTATTGGATTTTCCATTTGACTTGGTGTGCCACGTCATTTGACACGTGGCACCAAAGTTGACCTCTAGGAAGATAAAATCTCGCGCTTAATGAAGTGGGTTCATCACTTGTAGCCCAATTAAATGGGCCAACCCAATGGATTCAGGTTTATTTATTTAATCTATATATATTGGACTTATATAACTAATCCAATCATATTAGCCCAATAAATTTATTTGAACTAATATATTTTAAATTTAAAATATAGTCCAAATTATTTTACGAATTTAATTTCAATAAAATTTATATGCCTATCATAGCTATTCTTTGATTGTGGAGTAGTTATTCTTTGATGGAGATTTTTTTGAAAATTGGAACAAGTGTAATTGCATGAATCGGACCTAATAGTGGACGCCTAATCCTAGTATTAGCCTTTTTCCCGTGCGATCTTGTACGCCGAATCAGCCAACCCGTTGGATGTTGAAACAAGTTTCTAATTTTGGTATCTTGACTTGAAGAGCTAGCTTGACAAATAAAAAAGGAGGAAAAATTGTACAAAAGAGGAAACCTGAATATACCCTAGCAATAAGCAAAGGGGGTCTGATTTAGGACGGGCTCTTAAACTTTAGACCCACATTTTAGGGCGGATGCATTTTTAAATGGAGGAATTTTCAGAAACCACTATAGTTTAGTAGTTATTAATTTTTTATAGTTATCATATACATATTTGTTTTCTATAATTAATATGCTGTTGCTATCAGACTGTATTTGTTGTATTCGCGCTACTGTATTCATGAATGCAGTCGTGGAATTCGCCTGATAAGTAGGGAGTCCAGCTGTTTAATAACAGAAAGAGAATCAATTAGCGTGTATTACTCCTAATTTAACTCAACAAAATTAATTCTATAAAATTTCGTTGCTACTGTGTTGTATTCCATATATTCGTGCGACTGTATTTATAAATACAGTGAAATAATTCGCCTAAAAAATAGTGATTACGAGTATTTAATAACGGAAATCACAATATTGAATTATATTTAATTTTACTATATTAAATCCAGTTGTATTCAAACAACAAAAAATCAAGAAATAGGGTGTATACCGTTCTATTCAATTCGACTGTATACATTGTATTCAATTCACTAATATTCATTATTCACTATTATACATTGTATTCAATTCACCGTAGTCTATTCAATTGTATTCGAACAACAAACAATCACAAAAACAGTGATATTCGACTGTATTAAAAAAATATAGACCTTCAGAATGCATAAAAACAGACGAAAATATAATATATTAATACAAAAATACAATGTATTTGAGTGTATTTGTACAGAATACAATGATTTATATCATTGTATATGACTCAATAGCAAAGAAGAGAAGAAAGCTCGCCGGAGATGGTATTTTTCGGCCAAGAAAAATACTATATACATTGTATTAAAACTAAAATGGAGACGCACAAAAACACGACCCTCAAATCTTCTCCAGCGACTCTGCTTCAGATTTTCAAAAGCTCTATCCGTAGCCATGGTCAGATCTGTTTGCCTACTCCCTCTTTGTTTCAGATCTATTCTCTTCGCTTCAGAAAGTCCACCATTGCCACAAAAAATGACTGCTACGACGACTGCCTTGACTGAAAAAGGAGAGAGATTTGAGGGAGAAGATAGATGATTGAGAATCTTGTTGATAGAGAGAGAAGGAAGAGAGAGAGAAAGAACATAGCTGGCGTATTTCACACCTCAATGGTAAGGTATAAAATAAATACCTATTTTGCTATAAAAACAAAAATATAGTTATAAGTAATTATATATTGAAATTATTTTGATTTATAATAAATAGGGTGTAATAGTTTGCTATTGGGGTAAAATTTTCTTTTAAAAGTCAGTTACATTTTATAATCAATCAATTTTTACTTTTTTGTACTAAAGTTACTAAATTAAACTATTTTTATAATAGAAGTATCACTCAATTTTACCTAAGTATCCCAAAAATCACTAAATTATATTTTGTAACAATAAAATCACACAACTTTGTCTAAGTATAATAGAAACTCATTAGGAGGAAACAAAACAGACATTTTATATGATACTTAGGGAAGGTAGAATTACAGACTTGGTTAAAAAAATTGTTTAGTGACTTGTTGCTATTCTTAGGCAAAGTTGAATGAGTTTTTGTTATAAAAAAAAGTTTAGTAACTTTTTGTGATGCTTGATCAAAATTGAGTGATTTTGGCATATTTTTATATTTGAAAACTTTTTAACCATTTTCATTTTACGCTTAATAATATTCTTTTATATGAATAACGACAACATGTTTAATATCATTATATTGAATATATTTTTAGTACTTATCATATATACAAAGTCTTTTTAAAAATAATCCGGTTCAAAACAGGCCTATGTCATATACCTTCAATGGCCTACTTCATTAAGGAGGGGTCTGATCGACTCGGCCATGTTTAATTTCAGGGCGCGATTATGTTATTTTGGAACTTATATTAACTGAATGTTACAACTTGGCGATTAACATAGAACCAGTTTCTGATTAAGGGAAGAAGCTACTCTCTGTATTTTTCAGTCAACAAATAATTGGTAAATGGCCTATAGTTCGAAAGACCAACTTTTACAAAGCAATCAACAAAATGGAGTACAATAATGTTACCGCACTATTGGTGGTCATTTCAAATTCTTTTTCCGCACAACTGTTAAAATAATAATGTTGGAAAAGAAATAATTATGACCAGTTGACTGTAACGGGTGGTCTAGCCTACTAGTTTTCAACTTGAATTATCGCCCACTCGAATTCAACAACGGTAAAGGACCAAATATACCCCCTCTATTTTTTAAAATGGTCTAAGAATATCACTCGTTATATTATTGGGTTATCTATACCTATACAGTCATACTTTGGGTTCAAATATACCCCTCATTTAAACGGAGGGACATGTGTCATCGTCCTGTTGGTCAATTCTAAATATATTCTAATTAATTAAAAAGACACATTAATCATACCTGAAAAATAATTTTTTTTTGTAAACACTGAAAAAAACAAAAAAAAATATTTTTACTAAAAACTGAAAAAAACGAAAATATTTTTTTTCCAGTTTTTTTACAAAAACTGCTTTAAAAAAACTGAAAAATATTTTCCAAAATAATATTTTTGTAAAAACTGAAAAAGAAAACTGAAAAGCAATTGTCTAAAGCAATTAAAAACTAAAAAAAACTGAAATATTTTTAACTAAAAACTGAAAAAGAAGAAGAAAATATTTGTTTTTACAAAAACACTGCTTTAGAAATTTGCTTTTTAGTTTTTTTTTCAGTTTTTACAAAAATATTATTTTAGAAAATATTTTTCAGCTTTTTTTAAAGCATTTTTTTTTTGTAAAAACTGGAATAAAAAATATTTTCATTTTTTTTTCAGTTTTTACAAAAATATTATTTTAGAAAATATTTTTCAGCTTTTTTTAAAGCATTTTTTTTTTGTAAAAACTGGAATAAAAAATATTTTCATTTTTTTTTCAGTTTTTAGTAAAAATTATTTCAGTTTTTACAAAAAAATTGCTTTTGAAAATTGATTTTCATCTTTTTTTTTCAATTTTTAAAAAAATATTATTTTAGAAAATATTTTTCAGTTTTCCTAAAGTAGTTTTTTTGTAAAAACTGAAAAAAAAATATTTTCGTTTTTTTCAGTTTTTAGTAAAAATAATTTCAGTTTTTACAAAAAAAAATTACTTTAAAAAATTACTTTTCGGGTATGATTAATGGGTCTTTTTAATTAATTAGAAGATATTTAGAATTGACTAACAGGACGATGACACGTGTCTCTCCGTTTAAATGAGGGGTATATTTGAACTCAAAGTATGACTGCAGGGGTATATATAGTCCAATAGTATAACGAGGGGTATTCTTAGACCATTTTCGAAAGTAGAGAGGTATATTTGGCCCTTTGTCGATTCAACAAATAGATCATTCCTCCAAAATTCTTAGCCCGAGAAAATGAATCGTAAAAGGACTATCTCATTGTTACTACTACCTCTGTTCCACTTTATGTGAACCTATTTCCTTTTTGGTCTGTTTAAAAAAGAATGACCTCTTTCTAAATTTGGAAACAATTTTGTTTAAACTTACAATTCTACCCTTAATTAGAAACTTTTATAACCACACAAATACTCTGGACCCATTTTTGACTTGTTTAGGACCACAAATTTTAAAAGTCTTCATTTTTTCTTAAATTCCGTGCCGAGTCAAACATGTTCACATAAATTGAAACGGAGGGAGTATTATTTTCTTTTTATACAAAAATATTCAAAAACAAATTTACTTATGAAAGATCATCTGTGAAATGAGAGTAATTAATACAATGTTCCTTGAAAAAAGTTGGAGTTAAAACATTTAATATCAGGGGCCATATTCTGAGAAACAAACAAATTAGAGGACCTAATAGCTAAAACTATATGCAATCTGCCTAGATTTCCACTCAAATACGTCATATATGCAACCTTTTGGGTAGGCATAATTGTACACAAACTTCTCCTTAGCCACATTTTGTCAATTCATTTTATTGCCCCCTATTTAACAAGGCCCCTTTTTCAAAAATTCTTCATTTTGGTCCAACAACTAATCCTAGCAAACCCTTCATTCTCCAAATGGCTCAGGTACTGTATCAACATATTCTCTAATATTTTCGCTGTTCTTTTGTTCTTTCTCTTTTAGGGGTTTGTTATGTTAAAACTTTTATTTATATTTGTGTTTTCCTTATCAATCAGATGAAAGTGGTAATGAAGGTTCTTACCATGTCTGATGAAAAGACAAAGCAGAAATCCATAGAAGCTGCAGCTGATATTTTAGGTAATTGCTATTGGATCTAGTTTTAGTCATAAGAAAAGTTGAATCAGATTTGTACTTTTTACTAATAAAATGAAGTGCAGGGGTAGATTCAATAGCAGCAGATCTAAAGGAACAGAAACTAACAGTGATAGGAGAAATGGATGCAGTGGCAGTGGTGAAGAAGTTGAAAAAGGCAGTGGGTAAAGTTGATATAATATCAGTAGGGCCAGCTAAGGAAGAGAAGAAAGAGGAAAAGAAAGAAGAGAAAAAAGAGGAAAAGAAAGAGGAAAAGAAGGAAGAAAAGAAAGAGGAAAAGAAAGAAGAGAAGAAAGAAGAGCCGCAGAAGTGACTTATTATTATCCTCAAATTAAAAGAGAATATCTCCATTTGTTAGACAATCCAAACAACCATAAAATCATTCAAAGCTTTTTGTTATAACAAGGTGATAAAGAAGCTTTGGGTCTTCAAAAATTGTTAATTGTATACGCAATTGCAAGTATGAATCGCTTCTTTGTCTCTTTAGACTAAATAAAATTTTGAGAAACTTTTGTCTTGATTCTTGCTGTTATTCCCTTTCCTTTCAACTTTTCTATTTTCTGTTTTATTTTATTTCAACTTCTTTGGTGGGGAGAAAAAAAAAAGGCGTTTAAGAATGAATATAACAATTATTTTTCTCCGTTTATTGGAGAAAATCATTATGCTGGCGTCCTACTTTACTTTGTGTGTGTGTGTGTGTGTGTGTGTTTTTTGGACAATTGTGGCATGTAACATCCCTTTCTGTGAATTCGATATCACGTAGTATATGACTTATACGAAATGGATTTTGTTTTTCTCATCCAATGGCTTGAATGTGACATTTCGATATTAAGTTTGAGGCCATTCCTACATATTAATATATTATCTGCACTTGGTTTTTAAACATTAGTTCTTTGCACATCCCTTAAAAAAATATACCTCTTATTTAGTGAATGACTTCAGTCACCAGAGTATTTCCTTAATTACCTTTCATTTCTTTTTTAAATGTCTCATTTAACTAACACTCTACTAATTAAAATTGTAAAGGTTGAATTAAAAAAAGATAATAAATTACTTCTTGTTCTTTTAAATCATTATAATATACTAAAACAAATTCAATTAGGACAATTAATATTTAGAATTGAAGGGCGTAACACTATTTAAGCTTCCTATGCATGGGGTTTCCAAAAGGTTAATCCAGATTAATTTTCAGTCATTCCGTGCATGAATGTGTACCAAATCCACTCGTTACATTTTTCTTTCTTGTCGGCCCTTTTGATTTTTGAAAAGAAAAATTTAGCACCTTCTTTTATTAATACGCGACAGAAACTGTGTACTTGCGTAACGATGACTCATACTTTGAATCATATTAATTGGTTTATAGACTTAATAGATTTGAAAAATAATTTAAAATGAGTAATTGATGCTAAAGGTAAAATAGGAAACATAAATTATTTTTCTCTTGATATGTGAAAGTAAACAAGTAAAAATAAAAATTTATTTTTAAAATAGTTAACAAATACAAGTGAACGGAGGGAGTAGCATTTTAAGAGGTCTTAGGATAATAATTTGGAAAATGAAATAGTTAATGATAAGGATAAAATAGGGGAAAGAATTGATTTTCTCTTTATTTGCTAAAATTAACAAGTAAAAATAATAACATACTCCATCCGTTCACTTTTACTTGACATGTATACTAAAAATATATTTTTATTTTTACTTGTCACTTTACGCATATCAAGAGAAGACAATTTTTTTTTTCCTGTTATACCCATAGTATATATTACTCATTTAAAATTATTTTCTCAAATCCAATAAAACATGCATCAATTAATATGTGTATCATGATAAATTATGCACTTCATTTATTATTTCTTAAGGGACGTGAAAAGTCAAAACATGCCAAATAAAAATAAACAGAGGGAATATTTTTTATATAGTGAACAAGTAAAAATGAAACTAGAATATATATACATGTTGGTATCAGTAATCAAGAGCAGCTCTAAATTAATTGCCAAACCTACTCAACCAATTAAAATGTTCGTCCATCCAAACTTTAAAAATAGTGGAGACCTAAAGTGGAAATTATGACTCAAAAACTATCATCTAGCTAGTTAGTTCTGCCAAGTGCCAACTAAGTGATCATGAACCCTGAGGTAGAAATAGGCAGTAACGGTTCACGTGAATTCTATATTTTTTTGCTTAAATTTTATAAATGTATTAATAAATTTATTAGATATTTATAAATATTTAACTATGAATTCAGTTATTATTATTTATATCAACTTAAGAATATTATAGGAATTTATAAATAAATTCGAATCTGACTAGGCACAAACCTAAGGAAAAGGGATTACGGACCTCAATTTTCCTTTGCAAAAATAAAAAAAAAACAGAAAGACGCATATAGTAGATTCCACCATCCTCTATTAAAAAGTAGAAAACAATATCAGTACCCCACGCCCATAAATCCACCTAGCATGCAAGTTGCAACCATGAAAGAAAAGAATTTATGCCGAACAACATACGCTTCTATTTGTTCGGTTTTGAAATTTCGGTCTCATGCCCTACAAAATTTCATTCAAACACCTCAACTCGTACAAAATAATTCTTTTAAACCCTTTTTACCTCGCGTGCTCTTCAAACACACACGTGGATAACACGTCAATGTCCAGTCAGGGGCGGCTCTAAGACTTTGGATAGTGAGGCCATTGCCTTAGGCCCCCAAATTTTGAAGACCCCCAAATTTATTTTAAATTCTTATTATTATTACTATTATGTATTATATAATTTATATAAATAATTAGAATAAAAAAAATATTACAGTACATTTTTTATTACTTGATTGAGGTTATTTTATACAATAAATTTATAAATTATGATAATTTTCTTTCCTCATTAATTAGTATATTTGACAAGAGTGAGTTGCTCTAGTGGTGAGCACCCTCCACTTCCAACTAAGAGGTTGTGAGTTCGAGTCACCCCAAGAGCAAGGTGGGGAGTTCTTGGAGGGAGGGAGTCGAGGGTCTATCGGAAACAACCTCTCTACTCCAGGGTAGGGATAAGGTCTGCGTACAAACTACTCTCCCCAGATCCCACTATTGAGATTATACTGGGATTAAGGGCCTCCGAATATGATTTCACTTTAGGCCCCGAGATTTGTTGAGCCGCCCCTGTGTCCAGCTCAAATTCTCTATGCCATATCATATTTTTTACTTTATTTCAAAATTTTCACTATTCAATTTCACTCAATATTTTCTCCGCCATCTATTCGTCCCTTCTCCCACCCAAAATGGACCCTTTTCCTCTGTTAACCCATCTTCAAATCCCAAAAATTCTCAAGATGTATAGCCCCAAATACACCCAACAATCATTTTTCGAAAGCTCACAAATAAATAAAAATCATTCCAAAAATCCTTGCTAATTGCACCCCACTCATTAAAAAAAAACACTCTTGGGAACCATGCAATTCCTACTCTTCAGTAGATACATCGATCATATTGATGATGATTCTAAGATATTGCTTCAACAAGAAGACACATATGCTTTCGAGCATTTTAACGATAAAAAATTATTTAAAAAAGAGAAAACTCATGTTTATTTGGGTCTCCACCTTCTCATGTCTCCATTAAATCTTGGAACACAACTCTTTTAGGTATCGAAGCAATGGATCTACGAGAAGTTTGAAATAGGAGCAGGAAATCTTCCTGTTATTGCTCCGTCTAACAATTGCTATTGCATGTATCTTGAGACCGAAGAGTGTAGGAAGATGTGAGGGTGGGGCAGAAGAGTATGGGGTGAAGAAGAGTACAGACGAGGGAATTCACGATGGTGGGAGAAGAGTGCGGGGAGGGGAATGGGAAAGTTTCCTTAGCAATTATTTTTAAGTTTCTTTTCTTTTTATCTTTATTTTAATCTTTTTAAAATCAAATTCATTGTTTTCACTTGCTTTATATGCGTACATCTTACACATTTCGTTTAACTCAGCCGGCTTAGCGCCGCATAAGCTTGGTCAATGATCAGAGGAATTTAAAAAAGTTATTTTGAACGAGTTGAGGTGCCTGAATGAAATTTCGTAAGATATAAGGGCCGGGATCCCAAAACAGAACAAGTAGAGGTGTATATTAGGCTATTCTGCTTTAAAGGAGGGTAAAAGATGAGACAAAAATATAACCTACAAATAATGTTCTTTGCACTTTTTTTTAATTGTTTAAGGGTGCCGAATGCCGATGAGCTTTTTGTGCAACTTGATTGAAAATATCCCCTAAAAATGTTCTCAAATCAAGTTATTGCAGTTCTCAATTTTTTCGGTGTCTAACAATTGCGTGCAAGTCAAAAGTTGCATGTCTTTCATTGTTAATAATAACTAATTTTAGGGTACGTGTTTTGCGTATCAACCATATATATCAATTAGTATACTTTTTTTTTTAAATGCAAGTATTATTGCATAGTGTACATGTGTTATAAAATAAAAATTAAAAAAAATATAAGCTCCTAAAAATAATGAATGTCGATCTATTTAACTAGCAAAATAAAGAAAAAGATCATGCCCCATAGAAGTCGTCTGATGTCTTATTGTGATTCTTGAGGAGATATGTGGGATTCTCTTACGAATATAATATTATTGTTATTTATATGACCTAATACTGGAAACAAAAAGTAATATATACATAAATACTTTTATCGTAATTCTTTAAAGATTTATTAAATAAGACATAAAAATAAAATCTATTGGTCTTTTTTAGATTTGAAAATGAAGAGGTTGGTCGCATAACTCTTAGAAAAAAAATTAGTAAATAATAATGTAAAGTCTAAAAGTAACTAATATTGAATTAACATTTTACAATAAATAACTAAATATTAAAAAATAGAAGAGGTTTATCATTTGTTAGAATGAACGCAAAAAATAAAGAGAAAGGTAATATAGTTCATCTATATAGGTCAAACATAACATCTAAGAGATTACAGTTATGTTATATTATTCAAATAAGAAAATAATTTATATAAAATAATTGTAATAAAAAAATCTAATATGGTCATGTTGAGCATGGTAAAATATGAAATTGAGAGATTTTATTGTTTTTCCTTGTCACAATTATTTCGTTATTGTAATTTGTAGAACTTGAAACCAACACCAAAATTCAAGAGCTACTACCTTCATTAACTAAAACCTTGTTATCTCTCAACCAACCTACGTCACATGTTTATGTGATCAGAATTGTAGCTGTAAATTAAATTAGTTACTTATGTATTATTATGTAAAGACTGATTTATTTATTCCAAGAGAAAGCATTGAAATAGAATGTGGAATTATAAGTCTATTAAATTTCTGCAATCAATTTTTTATATTTTACAAGTGATATTAATATTTTTTTTGGTAATTAGTGAGATTAATAGTTAATTCTACTATCAGTATATAATAGAAAATTTAATCAATTTAAAGTATATATCGTAGGACTTAATATTTCTAATAAGGAAGAAATCAGTAAAATATTACTCCATTAATTTCAAATTAGGAAAAAAATAGTTTTAGTGATAATG